ACTGCGTCATAAAATGTCTTCATACACATGACATTCAAGTGAAATCCTTCTATTCTTCTATTTTATGACTAGTGGATTCACCATTAGAACTTATTTAAAATGTTTTCCAGAACTGTAACCAAAAACCATGCCATTTTCCTTCATTTCACAGCTGTTTTGAGCAGTTCTATTTTGCTAAAAGTGAAGAAATTTTGACAAGGTTTTTGCCTCTCATTTTGGCACGGCTAGTACCACCAAACGTTTCTGAGGAGAAACGTTAAAATACCTAAAAATTCAGAATAGGCAACCAAAACAATCAAATAGTTGTAACAATCTGTCTAGCGTCAAATTTTACTAAACTGCGCAGCTACTATTAACATATATTATAACTATAAAAGATATATTCTCCGAACCAATAAGGTGGTCTAGAAGTGAGAATATTTGGAACTAGGGTACTGGAGCTCAGCACACATATCAAGGACATGTCGAAACTTTTAAAATCTGCCAAAGTGCTTATATCGAGACAACTGTTGATTGGTAAACCCTTTAGGAGACTGGACGAACAGCAGGCTGACCAATTCAAATTTGTTGCGCCAGCAAAACAAAAATAGCGGCGCGCAGCAAGGTAGCTAATACGATTGTGCGTTTTGCACAGTTCCGCCCAGCGGAACTGCTTTACACTTTCATGTGCAGAAAAACAGTCGATATACTGTCTAGCTTCTAAACTGAAAACTTTGCCATTAAAAATTTCAGGCGCTGGCACATGAAAGCTAAGTTTGAAGCCTTTGACGGGGAAAACCCACCCAAATTTCAACCTCTCAGTTCTTCGGCTTCCTTGCCTGCCGAATCAAAACTCTCACGTGATCGTATGTAAAACCTTGGCGTGCCTAGGACTGGCTGCTGAGGCGAGTCATCTGGCGCAACAAGACAACAACCACTCAACAATCTTATCGCGTGAGATTCAGACTGCTGTCATGCAGGGTACCGACGCACAGGTTGGCCAAAATCAGGTGTTTAGAATCGTCCAAGCCCAAGTATGCGCGTGGAAATTTTGGCGCGAAAATTACCAACCCGAAAACGGAAAAAGCTAGAAAGCTGAAACATTAGGGTAATGTTCCCTACTCATGTATGACCAAAAGATTTTAAATTCAGCTCCTTAAAACTGTTCAGTACTCATGTACGGTCACGTGAAAATTTTGTTGGGAAAACTGCTAACTCAGGAACGGGAAAAGCTGAAGGCTTTAATTTTAAGGGGATGTTTCTTGCTCATGTGCAACTAAAGGATTTTAAAATTAACTCTTCTTGTGTGGTCTTTTTTTATAGACCAGCAACTATTCATTTGTCGGGTCACTGAAGTCGACACCTTGACATATCACATAGTTACACAATTAACTTCCCGAACTTTGTTCCGTGTCCATGCATGACTAAAAGATTTCATAATCAGCTGCCTAGGACTGCCCGGGGCCCGGGAACGAGAAAAGCTAGAAAGCTTAGGGAAATTCGTTTTTTTTTTTCGGAAATTCGTTCAATTTCTTCTCACTTCCACAAAAAAGCATTTATGGGCGGTATTCAGCAAGGCAGAGTAATAAAGCATCAGGATCAGTACCAAGCTATCT